TGATACACCAGTCAATCACACACAAGCACTAGATAGCAATGACATAGACTCACAATTCATTCCATGCCATGCATGCACACACACAAACAAGGACGACAAGCCGAGTGCAAGCCATAGGGTTGCACCAACAAACTCCCCCTCGGATTGTTGGCCTTAGAATCTGCTCCCCTTAGTTCAGAGCCATCCCAGCACGCTTGCAACACTTCCAATGCTGCTGCTCAACCAGCCTCTTGGTCATCGTATCAGCAGGCTGTGCCGTCGTCTTCACGTAGTGCAACTCCACTTCACCCGAGGTTACCATGCTCCTCACCCAATGCCACTTCACCTTCATGTGCTTGGTAAGGCCATGAAGAACCGGATTCTTAGCCAATGCAATAGCACCCTGACTATAACAATATAGTGGGGTAGGTCCTTGCTGCTCCTCCCCCAATTCAGCTAGCAAACGCCGCTGCCACACAACCTCCCTTATGGCACGGAAGAGTGCCATGTACTCGGACTCCACCGAGCTCAATGCTTGGTCCACTTGTTTCTTGCTCTCGCAAGCTGTTGGGCCTCCACCAACACAGCAGATGAAGCCTCCCACACTTGTCATGTCCTCTGGTTCTGATGCCCAAGATGCATCAGAGAAGGCGGTGAGAAAGAGCCTCCCGGGTTCGACTCCATCCGCACCCTTTTGACGCCTTTGTGCCGCTGCGGAGTATTGCAGTCCAACAGTTGCTGTTTGGCCAAGATACTTGGCCACTCTCTCTCCAGCTGCCACCTGTTCTTCATTAGGGCATTGGACAACCCTAGCCAGCTGCCCGGTAGCAAAGGCTGCATCCGGCCTTGTGTGAATGGCCGCATACATGAGGCTGCCCACCAAGGAGTGAAAACGGCGCCTCTCCTCTTCACCAACACTTTCCTCCACTGGTCCTTTCACACACTTGAATCCTGAGGAAAGAGGAGTAGCCACATGACCTTCACTCTTCCCAAAGTTTGCAGCCAAGGCCTTTTGATGCACTCGCATCCACCGCTTCTCCACATCTCGCTCAATGTGAAGCCCAAGGTAGTAGTTGACATCACCAAGGGTCTTGCACTTGAACTTGTCTTGAAGCTTCAGCATCACCTCCTTCACAAGGTCAGAGGAGGGTGAGAATATGAGGATGTCATCCACATAAACCACCATGAAGCTCCTCTGCTCCCCCTCGCCAAGCATGAACAAGGATTGATCGGCCGTTGAGGGAGTGAAGCCGATCGCCTCCAAGACTTCCCGCAGCTTGATGTACCATTGCCTAGGGGCTTGCTTGAGGCCATAGAGTGCTTTCTTCAGCTGCTCCATGTAGGTCTCTTCCTCCAAAACGCCGTCGAAAAAGGCCGTTACTATATCCATTTGCTTCACCACCCATCCTTTGATGGCCGCCGCAGCGAATAGGGTTCGAAGGGTTGTACCTTTCACCACAAGGGCATACACTTCATTGTAGTCCTTCTTCTCTTGCTGCTGATACCCCTTGGCTACAAGTCTGCTCTTGTAGCGCTCAATGTTGCCGTCGGCGTCGGTCTTGCGCTTGAAGAGCCACTTGGAAGAGATCGCCTTCCGCCCCGGAGGAAGTACTCTGCTCCAGAAGCTCCAAGCTTCAAGGGGCCCACCACATCCATCACCACCTCATCAAGTGGTGCCTTTGCCGTTGTCTCCAAGCTATGGAACGGGTAGCGGGTGAACTTGGCTTGCATGCATGTTGGACAGCCAAGCACCTCATTGTGCTCCCCCTTGACACATATCCCACTGACCATCTCTTGCTTAACTATCTTATGCAAAATGGGCAATGCCACATGCCCCATTCACCGATGCAAGGTCAGCCAATCACACTCTCCCATAGTGGAAGTCAGGTTGGAGAAAGCGGCACTCGCAATCGTGCCCCACAAGCTCTCTCCTTCCTCCTTCGCCACTGCTGCTTTGCTGATCTTAGGAATCTCCTCATCATTTCCACCACCTTTGGCTGCTGCACCACTCTCCTTGGTTTCACACGCCTTGCTGGTCCCTCCAAGATTCCTTCGAGTCACTGTTGGTGTCACTTTGCTTTCCGTGATCACCGCCACCAACCGCTTCAGTCTTGGTGCTGATACTTGCTCCCACTTGCCTCTCCTTAGGCATGGGGACCACTAGGATTTGCCACATCTCATTGTAGATGTCCCTGTCCTCATGAAGGTCCCAAAGCTTCCGCGCACCAAGCCTAGCAGTCAAAAGTTTTGGAACCCTTGGAAGATGTGTTCATGGCGGCCTTTTGCAAACGCCGCACGGAAATCAGGTTGGCTGCTAGGTTGGGCACCCAAAGCTCGTTCTTGAGGCCAATCATTTTCCCATCAGCACCCTTAAACATGGCCTTGCCCATGCCTTTCACCTCTGCTCGCTGCCCCAAAGCCGATGTAACATGCTTGACCGGCGATGGTTCGACGGTGAGCAAGTCCGCACGAGGTGTCATGCTATAGGTGGCGCCGCTATCGATCACCCAAAAGTCCAGAGAGTGAAGGGTGACCTTTCCCACAGTAGCTGGCTTCTCAAAGCCTTCCACACCTCCTGCTGCAAGTGCCGCTTGCGTGGAGACAAAGAAGAACTAGCCCGGGAATCGATCTTCACTCAAGTCCTTGTCGTAGTCTCCACCTTTCATACTTGCTGCTTCACTTCCACGACCACCACGGCCTCCACGACCTCTGCCTCTTCCTCCCCTTGCTCCTCTACCCTCTTGGCCTTGAGAAGGGGTCCATCCATCAGGCAATCTGAAGCAATCTCTCCACATGTGGCCGGTCTTGTGGCAAAAGTGGCATTCGCCATCAAATCGACCGCGCCCACGCCCGTAGCCATAGGGTTGCACCAACACATACATGCATACAGCCATGCATGCAATGCTTATACACACATACAGCCTGGCATGCTATGCCCATACATGCATACAGCTAGGCACTCTATGCACATACACGCATACAACTAGGCATGCTATGCCCATACAGACATACATCTAGGCATTCTATGCCCATACATGCACACAGCCATGCATGCTATGCCCATACATGCTTACAAGTAGGTATGCTATGCCCATACACACATACAGCCAGGCATGCTATGCCCATACACACTTACAGGTAGGAATGCCATCCCCATACACACATACAGCCAGGCATACCATGCCCATGCACACACACAACCAGGCATGCTATGCTCATATACACATACACTCAGGCATGCAATGGCCATACACACACACAGCCAGGCATGCTATGCCCATACACACATACAGCCTGGCATGCTATGCCCATACATGCGTACAGCCAGGCACGTTATGCACATACACGCATACAACTAGGCATGCTATGCCCATAGACACATACAGCCGGGCATTTTATGCCCATACATGCATTTAGCCATGCATGCGATGCCCATACCTGCATACAATACAACTAGGTATGCAATGCCCATACACACACACAGTCAGGCATGCTATGCCCATACACACGTACAGCTAGGCATGCCATCCCCATACACACATACAGCCAGGCATTCTATGCCCATACATGCATACAGCCATGCATGCTATGCCCATACACACATACAGCCAAGCAATCTATGCCCATACATGCATACAGCCATGCATGCTATGCCCATACACACATACAGCCAGGCATGCTATGCCCATATATGCATACAGCCAGGCACGTTATGCACATACACGCATACAACCAGGCATGCCATGCCCATACACACACACAGCCAGGCATGCTATGCCCATGCACACATACAGCCTGGCATGCTATGCCCATAGATGCGTACAGCCAGGCACGTTATGCACGTACACGCATATAACCAGGCATGCCATGCCCATACACACACACAGCCAGGCATGCTATGCCCATACACACATACAGCCAAGCATGCTATGCCCA